ATTCATTGAAAGTGTACTTATTGTGATTATTTATTAAAGAAGATTATCTTACTCAAATTGGTGACAATTGTTAATAGGATAATTGATAAAGAAAAATAGTAAGTAAAATTCTTGTTAAAAGTCGTGTTTCAAAAAGGTTAAATTTCCCTTTATTAATCTTTCACAGCAGAATCTCCTTTGAGATTATTTTTGACTATTAGAGAAGTGTTGATTTACTTTTATTTATTATCATTGAATTATTGTTTTTGTTAGTTTTCCAACAATTAAACTAACTGGCGTCTGACAGACGTGTTTGGTGTTAAATTTGCTTTTTGACGAATAAGGAAATTAATAATCTATTTGAATTTTATATATTTTCTGATTTATTATTAAAAGAACCGTCATAGATGCTTGCAAGTGATTTTTGAAAATATTTTGAAACTCGTTTAACACATCAGGCCCATTTCGGGACTTTTTGGAAAATCTTCTCTATACATATTTTAAAATACAAAAAAATATAGAAAATCCGGCCCAAAGTTAAAAAAAAATTAATTTGTTTATAAAAAAATTTTTTTAAAAATATTTTTGTTTACATTTCTTCAAAGTCGAAAGAAAACTAAAACTTTCATTCTTAGACAACTTTTTCCGAAACTCAATATTTTCGGACTTATAAGCTACTGAATATAGGTCTACAATTAAAAGTCCAAATTTTCGAAAATTCATAACTCGAAAATTTGGATAATTAAACGTAAATAAAAAAATACGTATCTGTTTTTTTCGATACAGAATAGAAAAAAAATATTTTTGGCCGATTTTAAAAGGTCGACTTAAATCTCACGTGGAATTGTCCATAAGCAAAAAATGAAATTCGTCTTTAAAAAAAATTCTATTTAAGGGGAGGTTCCCATTGCGGGGGTCAAAAAAATCGATTTTTTTTTATTGCATTTTTTGAAAGCTATATATATGTAGAATATGTGTGTAAATCGATTTTTTGATCCGAAGCATATTTTCGTTTCTATAGCGTCTTGAATTCATCCGTGTCACGAGCGCTGAATACCGCTGAGGTAGTAAGTTCGTCGCGCGGTCTCTAATCATTTATGTACATGTATAAATGTCACGATCGGGATTTTTATACAAATAATTTATTAGAGATGTACAAATATATAAATATTTATATATATATATATAAATAAATAAATATATATATATATATATAAATTAACATTTTAAGTCGGCTTTTTTCAATCAACGAAAGCTCAATAATTTAACGCTATATTTTAATGTAGAATATAAACTAAATACTTATTGTTAGCAATATTTATATGTTATAAAAAAAATTTATTATTTTATTTTTATTTTTTTTATTTGTTTAGATGATTTGATAATTTTTTATCAATTTTTAATTTACTAAGTCGTAGCTCATATAGGCAGCCAGCCGCTCTGGACTCCAAATAAATCTACTAATTCATAGTTAAATATTCACTAATAGTAAATTAATATATAATAAAATAAGAGATAATTAATTCTAATAAAAATAGTTTTACTTTAGTTGATTAATTAGTAGCACATTTTTAACTACGAATTAGTTGATTTTTAGGAATTCATATTTAGACATTATCTTTTATATCATTGTAATTAGATAATGCACACAACAAAACTAGAAAATTTTATTTAATGAGAAAACTTTAATTCTAAGGTGTGTTCATTGACTAGTGATGTTTTTCGAGTATCTCTCTTTTACTAGTGATGTTCTTTGAGTATCCCTCTTTTATAAAAAAAAAGAAACGATAACGTTGCATTCATTTGTTTTCCATGGATGTTTTATAAGATGCTCGATTGTCTTACGGCACTTGCAAAATAACCTAATTCGAAGTGCATCATTAGGTAGTATTAAATAACAAACATGCCAACAAAATTAGGCCGTTTCAGTCACAAACGTTTAAATCGACAAAAAAGAAAATCCTTTCAAGGAAATCAGTTTACGTCCGAAACGAATGACACGTATGTGAGTACATCATCGAAGAAGCTAAAAAGTTCCGATTATGACGGTATTAAAATAGACATTAATAGTAATTATGTGATTTGTCATTTTTTAACTATTTTTAACTTTCTGAGTGAATGTTTAGTTTGTAAGTCATGTCATAAGGATGTGAAATTCTCTCGTATCTCTGCATCGGGAGTCGCTTTCAAGTTAATAATTAAGTGTTCTTGTGAGACCCGCGAAGTTCCATCCAGTCCACGTGTAAAAACCTGTTATGAGGTAAATCGGCGCCTCATGTTTGCGTTACGAATTTTAGGACTTGGATACCACAGTTTGAATGTTTTGTGCTCTATTATGGACATCACTCACACTTTCAGTCATAATATGTACTACTGTTTTCTATCAACTCTTTTGACTGCTACGAAGACAGTGTTTGAACAGATTCAACGAAGAACCGTCAAAGAAGAAATAAAGCTGAACACTGAAGCCGGTAATATCCCACTGCACCTAAGTGTTTCTGGTGATGGGTCGTGGAAGAAACGTGGATTTTCGTCGTTGTTTGGTATGGCAACATTGATCGGTAAATTTTAAAAAAAAATCATTGATCTTGTTGTAAAATCTTCCTTTTGCCAAGCTTGTGCCAATTGGAAATCGAAACAGGGAACTGTAGAATATACTACATGGAAATTAACACATGAAGAAAATTGCACAGCAAATCACGAAGGTAGCGCTGGTAAAATGGAGGTAGACGCAATGAAAGAGATGTTCGGACGATCAGATGAATTATTGGGTGTAAAGTATGCGATTTATATTGGAGATGGAGACACAAAAACTTTCAAAGCTCTTCTCGATATGGATCCGTACGACGACCTGAAAGTACAAAAGAAGGAATGTGTGGGACATGTGGAAAAAAGATTGGGTACTCGGATGCGTAATGTAAAGACTAATGTAAAAGGACTTGGTGGTAAAGGAACAGGAAAATTGACGGATAAAGTAATAAAGGATTTGACGTTATACTACGGACTTGCGATCAGAAGAAACTCCGATTCAGCAGCAAAAATGAAGGAAGCTATCTGGGCTACATACTATCACAAAAGCTCCACAGATTTAAACCCGCAACATCAATTTTGTCCCAAAGGAGTTACGAGTTGGTGCAAATGGCGAGTGGCTGAGGCTGAGGGTACGCTCAAGAACTTCAAACACGAACCTTAACTTCAGGTACAATGAAAATTGTTTTTATTTATTACAATGGTAAATATTTCATATATATGGTTCACTCTTAGGAAAAAGTGCAAAAAGCCATCAAACCAGTATATACAGCTCTTACAGAAGATGATTTGTTGGAACGATGCGTCGGTGGAAATACCCAAAATTCTAACGAATCGTTCAACTCAACTGTATGGAAAATGGCTCCAAAACATTTACACTGCAGCAGTCAAACTGTGACTATTGCAACTTACATGGCCGCAAATATATTTAATGAAGGATGGTCTTCGATACTAAAAACAATGAATGTTTTGGGTATTGCTGTAGGTTTGGAAGCCAATAATCATGCCCAAAGTACAGATGCTACTCGAATTAGCAAAGCGGAGAACAGTTTGAGCAGCAGTGCGAGAGCAGCTCTTATTGCTAAACAGCAACAGCGGATTGCGCAAAATGAACAGTTCGAGGAAGAAGAAGGGGTTTTATACGGTGCTGGCATAGCCGACTAAAGTGGGGTATGAATAAATGATGAATAAACAATTTTCCGCTTGTAATATTTAAATTCAATTTTACCTTAGATTCATGTTCAGCGTCGGCGAACAACCTTATTTGTAACATTTAATTAAAATCGTTTAATAAATAACTTTTTTACTAGTCATATTGGATCTGCCAGTCTAAATTATGTAAATCCGAACACAGAATCGTTATCAGCAACCTTGAAAACCCTTATATCTCAAAGTTGGTAAAAATCGTTCAAAAAATTATTTTTTCTTCTACTATATTGGATTCGCTATTTTGAATTTTGCAAATCTGATATCATATTCGTAATCAGCGACCCCAAAAACCCCCAAGTAACGAATTTCAGTCAAATTGAATCAAATTTTAAAAAAGTCAACCGCCATATTGGATCCGCCATTTTGAATTTTGCAAATCTTATATCATATTCGTAATCAGCTACCCCAGAAACACCCGAGTAACGAATTTCAGTCAAATTGAATCAATTTTTAAAAAAGTCAACCGCCATATTGGATCCGCCATTTTGAATTTTGGAAAACTAATACCAGATTCGTAATCAGCGACCCCAAAAACCCCCGAGTAACGAATTTCAGTCAAATTGAATCAATTTTTAAAAAAGTCAACCGCCATATTGGATCCGCCATTTTGAATTTTGCAAATCTGATATCATATTCGTAATCAGCGACCCCAAAAACCCCCGAGTAACGAATTTCAGTCAAATTGAATCAATTTTTAAAAAAGTCAACCGCCATATTGGATCCGCTATTTTGAATTTTGGAAAACTAATACCAGATTCGTAATCAGCGACCCCAAAAACCCCCGAGTAACGAATTTCAGTCAAATTGAATCAATTTTTAAAAATATTACCTAAAAAAATGTTTACAAAACTTTAAACGCGTTTTTCTCAAAACAAGATTTTTCAAACTGGTGGGCAATGTAGCGTCTAAACGAATCAACCAATCAACTTCGGGTTTTCGGGTAATTAAAGGTAACTAAATTCTGCTGGGGTTATACCTATAATATGCTACAATTGTTAACAATAAAGATTTTTTACAAGAGGTCAAACATGAAAAAATAGTGCAAAAACGCAGTTTTTTTAAAAAAGTGTCCGCCATTTTGACATTTATTTAACTTTTTAACTATTTGATAGATATAACCTATTCTTTAGGATGTCCTCTTTATAAAAATTTTTGAGTTTTTGTTTTAGACTCAAAATTGCGCAGTGTAGACTGCCCACCGTTTTTCCTCTTTAAAAAAACATTGTTTACTAGGTGCGCCATAATGGCCGCCATTTTGAAATTTTTTGAAAATGAAATATATGTTTTAAAAGTTCAAGGAAGTATCTTCATTTACAAAAAAAAACTACATCGCTAAGTCAAAACCATTCCTCGCAAAAAATTTTCAAAGTTTGTATTGATTTTGGCCTCCGCAATGGGAACCTCTTCTTAAGGCAATTTTAAAATCTTGGCGTCAATACTTTAATCAATTATAATTTAGATTTTTTTATTATCATTTTCTCCAAGTAACTAAAACATCATCTGTGCGAAATCTTTGTTCACATATAGTGTCTTTCAAGAGGGTAGCACCAGAGGATTTATACTCTAATAATCCTGCTACTGCAATCATAACACCATTGTCAATACAAAATCGTTCATCTGTAGCATACAAAATCGCACCTCTTTCTTCACACATTATACGCATCATATCTTGTAATCTTTCATTACATCCAACACCTCCAACAATCAAAACGTCTTTGGATCCAAGATACGCCATTGCTCTTTCTAAAATTATAAAAGAATATATTACATTTTAAAATATTAGTGACAAAATAATGTACAGTCATCCCTCTAAATTGCAAGATTTTTTGAAATTCTTCTTTATCTTTTAGAGAATCATCGAATAATGTTTATATTAAAAGTAAGAGTACAAAAGAGAAAACACAACTGTGAAAACGGAATACAATTGAAATGAGACACTTCTAATTAACGTTTTTGACATTAGTAAAATCAAAACTTAAAAATTGTAATTATTTTTTATTAATAAAAGTAAAACACTTTTTGATAGCTACAAAATAAAATTTTTTTAATTAATTAATGACAGAATTTTGTACTTATATCTATACCCATAACACCAAACCTACACATAACGAGTGATGATTTGAATTTATTTATATTGAGAACTATAGAATTTTTTATTAAAAATTAAAAATTATTTTGAATTTATTTAAATGTATAACCATAACATATTTTATTATTTAAAAAAAATATTTTGATTTTATAATAAATTTAAATAAATTAAAAATATAACATGTTATATATCACTTGTTTAAACATTACCATGAACACTGAAAGGAGCATAGATAACTTATGATGACAAGACAGTCAGAAATTTTCGTAGCCTTAAATTCGATTTTATTAATGGTCTAAGAGGGCGCGGGGATCTTGCGGGAAGAAGAGAGTGCTGGGCAGTGGGGCTTTATAATTTGGTATAGGGGGTTTATTAGCGGGAAAGCGTGTCTGGTTCCTTGCACAGTTTTTCTCACTTACCGTTGTGGTGTCGAAAACCTTAGCCGCTTCTCTGTGTGTTGCCGACAGCCCAGAGGTAGAAAATTTTAGTTTCAAAAGATTTAAATTAGTTTGTTAAAATGTTCTTATTTTTTTTTTTGATTTTTTATATATCATCTAAAGTATTATCATTCTTTAAAAATGAAATAGAGTGGCGATTTAAGTGAGGCTACGGAGTGAGAAAGGAATGCGAAGGGAAAAAAACTGCAGAGAGGAAAACTAAGATTTAAAAGTATCGCTAATTCCCGGATCTTGGCCATTGACGAAAGGGAAATGCTTTATAAAATAATATTCAATGTGGGCGAAAATAAATAGGATTTGAGGACTACAATTATCCTGGGACGATCCAGCCTCAGCACTCTCTACAATTCGCGCCAGATCTGCCCTCCACGCACCGTTCTCTCTCTATTTAAGGACACCAACGGCTAAGCCTCATTTTAAATTTTATTGTCTTTGTTTCGTCTTTTTTTTTATTGTTTTATTTTAGATAAATTATTAAATTTTGACTTTCTCTAAATTATGAGTTATCTTATCTAAGAATTTAAGAAACTTACAAAATTTATTTCATATGCATATCTCTTTCTAATTATATTTGCGTTAATTATTAAATATTATTGATTTGTTATATATATGTATTAATTTTCCAATTATTGTTCTGAATGGATGTGATGTGAATGCCGATCGGTATAAATTTTCGTTTATATATTCATTTTTATTGTAATTGGACAATTGTATTGATATTTTGCAACCAAACAATATTGCATTATAAATTAAAATATATTATTGATTAATTGATTTGGATCTTTATATTGTGTCTTAATATTTTACCTATTTTTGTTTTTATTAATTTCATATTTTTAGTTGATTTAATTAATTTTCGAAGAGATATAAATTGTCATTACATTAAATTTTTAAATTTATCTTTTGGTATTTATATAAAATAAAATTTTATTACAACACTATTGCTTATAAATCGAAAACGTCTAACCATTCTTCGAAAATTGATCTTTTTGAATGTAAAACACCACGGATTTATTAATTAAATAATTTTTGCTCTCTCATATTGGTCGTCTAAATTCTTTCTGTTTTTCTTCTAAGTAACCGAACTGCATTTTTTTCGTAATCTCACCAAATTTTCTGTCATGCATTTTTCATTTAAACTATAAAATATTTACTATGAAATTTATTAAACATTTATACTTTATCAATTGTGAGTGATTATAAATTGTGTTTAGATTTTCTTGCAAATGATAAGCTTTAAATAAAAAATGAATAAAACAAAATATTATCAGGTTATGAGAAAAAATACAGAGTGGTTTTTGAAATGACAAAAAAAATATTCAAAGAAAAAAATCATCCGCGATTCCGAAAACACATAAAACAAAAGTTTCGTTTACACTACCGTTCGTGAGTATCAGGACGCCCGTTTTTTCATGAGTGGAAAAATGCTTAAAATGTAGAAAATGAGACACGGTGAGCTTGGATGAAATTCAACCCAAAAGTCATGACCCTTTCTGGTTTATTTTTGATATCATTTAAGTGATGTCTAATAATCATTTTAAGATAAAAATTAAATTAATCGTTGTTGGAGGGAAACTCAAATTATATTGATTTTTTAATTTTTTTCTAGGTTACTGTACATATTTTCTGAAGGATAATGTTTTAAACAATATTTATTGCTTCAAAAGATATCTTTTAACATTAAAAAACATTGTTTTTAGTAAAAACAATATTTTAATATATAAAGCTAAAAAATTGTCGAAAAAGTGTGAATTTTTTCGTTTTTCTGAAAATTACTCTTTTATAAGTCATTAAACACTAATATTATGCAAATGTAAATTAAAGTACACAAAATTTCCTGAAAAACTAAACAAGAAAAACTATTCTATCTATTAAGAGTAGAGATGATTCTATCACTCAGTCGTATTTTCACTATTTATTATTCTATCCACTGTTGTTACTGAAATATGATGATTTAAAGTTCGTTTTTAATGAAAAAGTAATTGAAATTTGTCATTCAGTCCAGTTTCTTTGGTGAAATCTTTTTTTCTGGACCTTACTTGAAAACCATATAATAATATGTTTAAAATTAACTTTTTTAAACATATTATTATATGGTTTTCAAGTAAGGTCCAGAAAAAAAGATTTCACCAAAGAAACTGGACTTAATGACAAATTTCAATTACTTTTTCATTAAAAACGAACTTTAAATCATCATATTTCAGTAACAACAGTGGATAGAATAATAAATAGTGAAAATACGACTGAGTGATAGAATCATCTCTACTCTTAATAGATAGAATAGTTTTTCTTGTTTAGTTTTTCAGGAAATTTTGTGTACTTTAATTTACATTTGCATAATATTAGTGTTTAATGACTTATAAAAGAGTAATTTTCAGAAAAACGAAAAAATTCACACTTTTTCGACAATTTTTTAGCTTTATATATTAAAATATTGTTTTTACTAAATAGAATGTTTTTTAATGTTAAAAGATATCTTTTGAAGCAATAAATATTGTTTAAAACATTATCCTTTAGAAAATATGTACAATAACCTAGAAAAAAATTAAAAAATCAATATAATTTGAGTTTCCCTCCAACGATTAATTTAATTTTTATCTTAAAATGATTATTAGACATCACTTAAATGATATCAAAAATAAACCAGAAAGGGTCATGACTTTTGGGTTGAATTTCATCCAAGCTCACCGTGGAGAATGACAAAAATTTTTCGTATTTTTTCCTGAAAGCTAATGAAATTATGAAAAGACTGACACCTGATCGAAGAATTTTTGTTGACTATTCTGTCAGATACAGAAAAAATACTGGATTTTGCATGCTTTTTGTAATTTTTTAATTTCTCGAAAACTAATTAACTTTTTTTTGCGTTCTTCGTATTGTTTCAATCTCTATTCAATGTAGAATCTAAATTAATTAATGGTATTGTGATATAAATTTTTCCAAAAAAATTTGAAACTGAAAGTCAGATAAAAAAATTTTGAAAAACAGATTGACTTTTTCAACAAAAATAGTATATTACATTATAAGGGCAGAAAGTTCGACATTCCTGCATCGCGTGAAATGATGCCCGAGGCGAAGCCGAGGGCATCATCGCGATGCAGGAATTTCGAACTTTTTGCCCGTGTAATGTATACTATTTTTCTTTATATCCGGCCGAAAGTACGCTTAATAATTTATTAATTACAAATCTTGCAATCGCGTTCGATTTGACAGCCGGCCATCTTTTACTTTTGCTCCCCGCTTCAGCGCCGCCATCGGCAACTCCTGAAGGAGAGTCCAGAATAGAGTCGAAGTCGGTATGAACGCGCTGATATTAACGCGCTCGTCCATATGGAATACATAGGACGAGCGCGTTGTATCAGCGCGTTCATACCGACTTCGACTATATTCTGGACTCTTCTTCAAGCTCTGGCTTTTTCTCTATCTCTCTCTAAAAGAAAGACGCCGTTATTGACTTTCGATGCCGGCCCCGACATTTGCTGCACGAGCGAAGCGAGTGCTGCTGGTCGGGGGGAGGCCGGCATCGAAAAGACAAGCAAAATCCAAATATAACTACAATTTTGACAACTAAATAAATAATTAATTGCAATAAATGACCAAAGGAATAAATGAAAGTAATAAAAAACAACCTTCTAATATAAAATATCAGTTTTTGTCACAACTAAAAAAAAATAATTAATTCATCAAAATTAATAAATGTCGGGAGCAGGTATCGAAAAACCATGTGAATAGACAAATAAATAGCTAAAATTTTTTTTTAAAGAAATAGTCAATTTTTAAAACCTTTTTTTTATTTCTTATACTATAAATAACAAATGTAATTAAGTTTTTTTATTTATTAATTGTATTAACTATTTTTCAAATCTGATAGAGTACAAAAATTATTTATAATTATTTTATGAAATATACAATTTATGTATTTGATACATAAATTGTTGTTTACATCAAAATTGAGATCATATTGAATGTTCTCTACGATATTCAAAGATTCTAAAGTTTTACATTTTGATTCATTTTTTCTTAAAGTAAAGCACCAGAAAAAAAACAATAAGCTTTTAGGTTAACTGTCAATCCCTATACGTCTGGATCACTCGCGCTTTAAATTCTCTGCCGGTAATGCAGAACAGCTAACAGCTTTTGCTCCCGCTGTATCAGAGGGCGAGCTTGTGCATCGACCAATGCACAAATCTTCGACTTTCTGCTGCGAAATCGAAGCAGAAAATACGTACTTTCGACCGAGGTATGAAGAAAAAAAATTTTTTTAAATTAAATAATTAAGTAATTAAAAAGCTTTTTTGATTTCTAGTATATCTATTAAATGAACATATTTTACATTGACATTTTCGACACTTTAATATTCATGATAATTTTTTGAACTTTTTTAATCCTATTTTTACGGTGCATCTTGTATTTTGAAATATATGAGCATAATTAACCCTAGAAGGAGTACGTTAATTTACTCACCCTCTAAGGAGTAACTGAGGTGTCTCGACACCCCACGCTTTAAACTTGTTTTATAAGGTTTCTATTTGACGTAAAAAAAATTCATTATAATGAATTGATTGGTTTTTTAGTAAGGAATACAATAATATTATTCATGTTTTGATAAATTAAAAAATTTTTGAAAAGAAACCGTAAAAACCCGAAAAAACACCAAAAAATTGAAAAATTGACTTTTTTCACAAAAAACGTTGTAGTTTCTTAAAAATTTGACTAATTTAAAAACTATTTTAGGTTTTTAAAGTTAAATAGATACACTTTTAGGGGAAAAAATTAGTTTTTGTATTAGTTCCAAAAAACATAATTATTTGAACATCTGAAGTGAAAGAAATTAAAGACAATTGACGAATAGTGAAAATCATAAAAATGAACTATAAAATGGACTTAAACAATTAATATTTACTAAAAATGGTGTTATAAATTTAAAATTTTACAAACTTAATATATCTGAATACATTAACATTAAAATTAATAACTTATGAAATGATTCTGTAAATTAATATTTAATCAAAGTTTTAATTATCAATTCTTAATACCTCTAATATATGTTAAAATATTATTAACAATATAGAATTTATAATTTAAATTTGACTGTCATATACTACATTTTTCTGTATTAGAATTTAATTTCTGACTGTAGAGAGAACACAGAAATTTTTAATAAATCTTAACTCAAATTTCATAAGTTGTTACAAATACAGAATGTCTATTTTTCATAAAAATAGAATTTTTGTATAAAAATGTTTCTTTTTTATAAAATACAACTTTTTCATGCATAACCTATCAATTTATACTTTATTAGATGATTTTAACTGATTAAAAACGATTTTTTAAAAAAATTTGAATTTACTTATCTTGACAATTTTTCTAACGTTTGGGAGTAACTGGGGTGTCCAGACACCCCAGACGTATTTTAGCAGGAGATAGAGCTCTTCCTAGAGCAAAACTTTTAGCGGCACATACAGGTGTCAAAAGATAGAGGTTTAAACTAAATTATCAACGGGTTTTGAGCGTAAAAAAATTATTGGTTAAGCCATGGGAATACTTTGAATTTTGCTTGGGGTGTCCAGACACCCCAGTTACTCCTTCTAGGGTTAATAGTTACATATTTCGTTATTTTTTACAATTCTGTTTTAAAACGTGTTGTTTTTTACTATAATTTTTGTGTTATTATTTTTAGTATTTCTCTTCAGCTTTGTGTTTTAAGCAGCTGCGTTGTAAAATTAAACAACAAAAATTGTTGTTTGTTAGAATTAATGTAATTTTTTATATTACATATTAATATAAGATTTTCTTTCGTTTTTTGCTTTGCTTTTGTTCATTTTTCATTTCTCATCAAGATGACTGAGTTTACTAAAAGAGAATTTTTGAATCAACTTAAGAATCCCAGGTAGAAATTTCAACTCTATAATGACCAGTCACTGGGAAGTTTTTCTAGATTCTGGGCAGTAATTGACCAGAAAATCTGGCAAGTGATTGATTGGAAATGTAACGCGCTACTTGAGCAGTCACTGGTTAGATTATCTGGCCAGTGACTGGCAAGTAACTTTTTGTGATTATTTAAATATTTAAGACTCTACCAATAACACTTAAATCTAAGAATGAAAAATTCTCACGCATGGGGGATCGAACCATAGACCCTGGAGACACAACGCATGTGCGTTACCATGCAGCCACGGTGACTAGATAGTAACTTATCATAACTACAAGTTTAAGAACTGAAGTTCTATTCCGATTGTGACCAGAATTTCTGGCCAGTAACTTGTCAGAAGTAATGATCAGAAATCATGACCAGATAAACTGTTTAGTCACTTGTCAGAGATTTGACGGCTTATCTTGTCAAAATTTAGAAAAATGTAAACTTTGGTAATGTGACAGTGAAACGATCATAACTTTTTTATAAAGTTACTTTAGACTTTTCTGTTTTTGACTGTATGGAACATAAAAATTATTTTTAATATCTAATTCGGCAAGTTTTTCTGATCAGTGGTGGAATAGTTTTTCTAGGTGGAATCTTAAATAATTCTTTAAATCAGTGACTGGCCAGTGTCTAAAAAGAAATTCTTGTCACGATTTTGATAAGATTTTCTGGTCAGTGACTTGACAAAAGTACTGTTCACAAAGGGGAATTGTTTTTATCCAGTGAAACTGACCAGTCACTTATTCAGGACTGGCCAGATTGTCTTGGCAAGTAAAACTCGCTCTCGACTCTACAGCTGCTGGAAGAAAACAAGTAATACTTGACAAATTTCTACCTGGGATGTCAATAATATTGATGAAGTTATTCAATATATTTTACAATAATTGAATTTACAATTTGATTTTGAAGATCAGCAAGAGATAAGTAATTTTAAAAAATTATTGAGAGCTCTACATGAAATAAATTATACATAAAAAATCGGCAATATAAAAAATGTTATTATCTGTTTTTGAATTTGAACATTATATTCTTAATTAACGACTCTAAAAACAATTCAGAATCAAATTTCAGTAGAATCTGTCATCAGATGATTCGTAATCAGCGACCCCAAAAACTCTTGAGTAGGGAGTTTTAATTTAACCAGATTGATTTTTAATACATTTCATCCAGAATATTGGATACACCATATTTAATTTTTCGAATTTGACTTAAAATTCAAAATCAATAACTCCAAAAAACGCCGAGTAACAAGTTTCATGTAAATCCTATTGGTTTTTAATATGTTCAACCGCCATATTGGATCCACCATATTGAATTTTTCAAATTTGACTCCAAATTCGTAATCAGCAACCCCAAAAACCACCGAGTAAGAAGTTTCAGGTAAATCCGAATGATTTTTAATATTTTTATCCGACATATTGGATCCGCCATTTTGAATTTTTAAAATCTGACTTCATATTCGTAATCAGCAATCCCTAAAACCCCATAAAAAGTGTTTTCAGAACGATATGTTCAATTTTCGAATTTTTGCCATTTTTTCTTGTCTCTGGACCACTGTGGGACGGTAGTGTATATCCGAAAGATGTTGATATTATTGTAAAAATTATATGTCAATTTAAAATTTACATGTATTATGGTTAAGTGTTTTAGCAAAGTGTTTTAGCAATTCAGTCCTATTCGTGCATTGAAGTCTATTATTACTTTTCGAAAATAAATTGTCACTCGCAGAAATGAAATAAATGTAAAGTGAGTCTTTTTCTAAATTAAACTGTAACACATATCATAATTGAACATTTTGTATGAAGTATTATTAATTAGAATACGAAATTTAATATCTTTGCGTTAGTAAGACAAGAAAAATAATTATTCGAAAATAACATTTTTACTTTAAACAATTATTTTGCAGATAAAAAAATTCTTAAAGGGTTTCTTTACATTTATGACCTATAAGGTACCTTAGCATTATTTGATAGATTTAAACTTTAAAGTAAAACTAAGATAGAATGATGACTTTTCAATATATTTAAGTGATTACAATGGGCAAAATATTCAATAAAAAGAGTTTGTTTTCTTGTAGGCTTAATTATTTAAATAATGGTAAAATTTCAACGATTAATCAAAAATGAACACCTTCCTCACTGTGACCCGTGGTGCTAAAATGATTTTGCAATTATGAGGGCTGACTGTATAGTGTCAAAGTTAAATATTAGAATTATCACCTGTAATTTCTATAAGCATAGAAAATAATGTTTCTTGAAAAGAGAAGCATAAATCTTCTATTGTGTATTCTTCAGATTTCATCCATTTCTTTAAACGTTCTTGAACAAACGTTAAAATGCCAGAAAAAGAGACATCCATTCCTTTTACCACATAGGGCAATTTTAAAAACTTTTTACCCCTGTAAAATCGTAAAAATGCAGCTATTTAAAGTAGAATTGAACAAGTTTAAACATCTATTGGTGTTAAGCTTTAGACATTAATGGTTTTAGAAAAAAATAAAACACACTAAACAAGATGGGGGATTATTACTATATTTTACTGTCTATTTTGTCTAATTACAAAAAATGAGATTTTATTATAAAGTAATCCAGAATTAAAAAAAAGAATTTTAGTAAAAAAGAGAGTCTGAGGAATTTTAAAAATCCATATTGGACTTCCCCCACCCAACCTGAACTACCTTATGGGCATTAGCAAGGTGCTTTAAGAGAAAATTGCAAATGGCTGTCAATTTGCAAATAGCTTTCATTATAAGACGTGTTACTATAATCTTTAGAAATATTTTGAATTTTTTTTTTTTGATAAGTTTTTTTTAATATACTACTGTAACATGTTTCATCCAAATTATTATACAATATATTGCCAAAATTTCAAATTATCCATTTTTCATATCATTTTTAAGTACATACATGCAATATATTTTTTATTTTTCGATTGAAAAATGTATAAAATTTATTTTGTTTATAATTTTTATTAATAAAATGTTAAGTAGGGGAGGGTGGTCCCATACCGACCCCCTAAAGTGCAAAGGCTAAAAATGTGCCAAAAATGTGTTTCTTTGTCTTCGTCAAAATTTTTTTGAGTAAAGGAACTATTTTTCAATGTTTTCTGACGGTTGCCGAAGTTTCTGATTGTCATTAATAAAAGATCTAAAGAAAAAGCGAAAATTTACGTTTTTAACTTTCTCAAAATGGGTGGTCCGAAACCGACCCCCCATTTTTTTTAGGAAAATCTCAAGAATAATCAAGATATCAAATTCTGATAGTAATTAAAATAAAATTCAACAGTCTGTAATGAACTGTTAAATTATTTTGACTTCATTTAAATACATTTTTGGACCTTTTTCTGAACAAAAAGGTAAATAAATGAATCATTAAGTAACTTTACTCTGAGATTATTTATGTCTTTAAGTTATGTTGACATAGTTAAACTTGAATTAATATTATTACATTATTTAAATAAATTTTAAGGCCTTTTTTAAAATGATAATAAATATAAATTGTTAAACAGTGTCTAAATTTCCAACATAATAGCAGCAATGGTTTTGCCTATTTTAATTTTCGCCCTATTTCTAGTAAAATATATACGAATTTTGTTATTAATTTTTTTCGTTTTCGTACTTAACTGCTTCCAAAGATGTCGAAAAGTACACCTTTTCTTAATTCATATCGCCTTGTCAAGAACATTTTACAACTGATAATGAATAAAATATTTAACCAAAAGAGAATTAAAGTTAAGAAATAAGTGCTGTGATTGCTAGTAAAATATTTTATAAATTCCTAAAAAATAAAAGTAAATATGTAAAACCTATCCTCACTTCATGTGAACAACAAGGAAGAAGAGAATAAACAATTACAATGCAAAAATATGGGGGTCGGTTTCGGACCACCCCCACTATTTTCACAAAATGTTTTGCCAATCACTTATATCAATGGAATCAATTTAATTTGAATGTTGTAGGTTGAAGTTAAGGTCATACACAATCAAAATTAATTTCGTAAAAATTTTCCTATATTCAAAAAACACTGTTAGCTCGAATTCCGTATAGGTCAAAAATTAATTTAAACAATGCTAAAATCTAATATTGCTTGAATCTTAAAAATGAAATCAAACGTATTGATAAAACCTGTGGCCCAGTTGTTGGTGTTGTGAAAGTGTTCGACTAATGGTACTGGCGAATTTTTTAGTGGTACCATCTTCAAGAAACATAAGGGGGTCGGTATGGTACGAGGGGTCGCCGGTATGGGACCACCCTCCCCTAGAATATAATTTTACGAATTAAAATTTTTTTTTTTAATTTCTTTAATCGTTTATATTTTAAAGATCAATTTCCTAAAACATGTACGAACATAGATGATGTAGGAAAGATATGTTGCAATAAGAAAAAAGAATGATCAAATTTACTATGAGGAGTGTCAAACTTGAAAAAGTTGACACTCTTCTGTTTAGATCTTAACCTGAGGAGTTTTAAATTTACATTCCTCATAATAAGTTTAATTATCATTAATTTTCTATTTTTCTCCGTGTGGGAAATGGATTCAGAAGCATTGAAAAAAAGGTAAGGCTAAAAGTCGGAAATTAATGGAAGCTGTTACTACAGGAATTTCAGAATGACAACCAGAATCATTACCTTTAAATGAAAATGCAAATAGCTAAAAAGAGAAAAGAATTTTCCTGAATAAATGAAGAAACATTTCACAAGAGATTTTTGAAAAGCAGAAAAGGACCCTGACATGAATTTTTTAAGAAATTTATACCTGAGCCTTATTTACTGAACGAAACAGAAAAAGTTTTATTTATTTTATAAATAAAAAATTTCAAAAAAGAAAAAACTCTTCTTTTTCCTTTTACTGTAAGTAGATTGGTTTCATAGTTATTTTTCTGTTACTTCAAATAATACTATTTGTACTTAAATAAATAAAATTAATAAAGTCATATGTTTCAGCAAGTATATGATCCTGCAGAAAATGTAACTTTCCATAAAAATCATATTGGAAAATAAAGTATGTTTATATTTCATATCAAATTCTCAGTGTAAAAAAGTGTGACTTAAACAATAATAGAATAGAGCATTATTTTTTAAGAAATTTGCACCCGGTAAAAAGGCTTGCATTAAAAAGTACACTGTAAAAAACGAAAATACTTTAACAGACTTTATTTGCAGTAAGTGTAAAAATTGTCTGTACTTTTACTACTTTAATGGTTGCGATAGTGCGAAGTTGTGGTTATGTTAATGTGGAAATGCTATCGAAATCTGTTACAATTTTCAGTATGGTATTAGTACGAGGCGCTGTAATCGCACATTTCAAATGTGAGAAATCACTGCATTTATAGTAGGTAATATTTTAGTACTGTATTTAATGTAGTGATTTCACTAAAATTTGTAAAAATACAGAAATAAGCAATAGTTCTTTTTATATACTGCAATTTTTAATTTCGTGATTGTAAATTTTCAGTATGATGCATTATTACACATTTTATTTTCAAAATTACTAGTATTTATAGTAAGATTTTTATTTTAAGATATAATATATATGTTAAAAAATAAAATGAAAGTAATTAAATTAAACGTGAATTGAATAAATGTAAATTAAAAATTGAAATGTATAAAAATATATATTATAGTTGTAGGTGGTAAAAGTTTTTTTATTAGTATAATAGGATAAAACGGAAGGAGGATATATAGGTAATGTGAATAGCAGACGACATTCTTAAATTCTATATGCGCGTCTGAAAAACGTGTCTGTGGTTTCTGTCTTCTGTATTGTGATTTATACAATTGTTTTAAAAGGTAAGTAAAGTTTTACATTTGTTTGTTTGAGTTTTATTATGTTTGATTATTTATTTGTGAAAACGTACTTTTGTCATTTAGGAATTTGAGGTATATTTATTTGGAAGACGCGTGCCGGAAGCGATCACGGTTCTCAACGAAAGTTTAGAAACTTGCATAAAAGGTAAATTTGTATTGCTTTTTTAATATTATTCTGAATGAATAGTTATTATTTTGAAAATAAATATTAATTTTATAATATTGCCTTAAATACAAAAAGAAGTTTTTCCATTAATAGTCAGTTTTAATCAAAAAAGTCACTTGTTGAAATTATTATATCACTCATGGCACACATGAGGAAATTGGAAATGCCGACTATTTCTTTTACATTATTACACATGTAGATAAATATAACTAATTATATTTATCTGATTTCAGATAATGGAAAATTTATTTCCTTTTTAAAACCACCTTCCCAACTAAACATTTTTTTCACTCTGCAAAAATATTCCTTATAGAATCTCCTACAATTAAAAATGTTTGTCTGCAATATATGCAAAGCAATATTTTCGACAATTCGCAAATATAATAGTCATCAAAATTCGCATTCTAATTTAAAGGGAATTGAAATACTTTGTTTACACACAAATTATAACGCAAAATTTACTTCATACAAATTATTTAGTGAACATATTCTTTGCCATTATAATAAAACAAGGGGAAACATTCATCATTCCTGCAAAGTAGAAAATTGCAATTTTTTGTCTGCAAATAGAAAATTTATAGATATACATATCAAAGAACACATTAAAAAGTCTAATACTGGTGTACCTTGTCCTTTTTCTGATTGCTCTCAAAGTAAAGTTTTGTATAAAAACGCAAATGCCTACACTGTTCATGTCTTTAGACAACATTCAACTGACGATAATGTTCAAATACTCGACGAAGATAATTCTTTTAATGAAAATGAAGAAATCTATAACAATTTTCAGCTTCCTTATATGATAGCACCTTCTTTTTCTGACAATGTTGACAAGTTTAGCTTTTCCGAAGAGAATATTAATCTCGAAGATAATTTTCCTGTAGTTACAGAAAAGAAACATTTTTCTGAAGTAAAGAAAAATGCTGTAGATTTGTGTTTAACATTGAGTACCAAGCATAATGCAACAGAGTCTATTGTACAGGAAGTTGTTAATCGGTCTAATCAAAATATTAATATGTGTAAACATAATTTTATAAAATCTTTAGATGATATCTTAAATAAAGAGCAAAAAAATCTAATTATTGACAGTTTTAACAAAAGTTTTAATGATTTGATTGAATGTTTTGATTCAAATGTAGGATGTCTAAGAAACACTTACAGAGAAAAAAATTTTATGAAAATAAATTAAATTTAATTTTGCCAGAGGAGATTTTTTTATTTAATAACGACGAGGAGATAACGAACAAACGATTCAGTTATGTTTCAATATTAGATACCCTTAAGCAATTACTTCTCGACGATGACATTCGTAGTTATTGCGAAAATGTTCCTCCGTTAAAAGATTCCAATTTAAAATTTGATATTAAAGATGGTGAAATTATGAAAAATAATTAAATAGTTAAAAAACACAAAAATTATGCAAATATAATTCTCTTCCAAGACGCATTCGAGGTTTGTAATCCTCTTGGAACTTCTAAAGGAAAATTTAAAATTGTAGGAATGTATATGCTTTTGGCGAATTTACCACCTCATTTAAGAACTAAAACGGAAAATATTAAATTAGTCATGATGTGCTTTGAGTCCAACATTAACACATTTGAGTGGGACCAAATTTTAGAAAAACCGATTAATGAAATAAAAACTCTTGAAACCGAGGGAATAAAAATAACTGTTGGAGGCGAAGAGAAAACCTTTTTTGGTACATTAATTACAATGTTAGGAGACAATAAAGGAAATCATAATATAGGGTGTTATGTGGAAAATTTTAGCAAATCTATTTATTTCTGTCGGACTTGCGAAATAACTCGTGAAGAATTTCAAAATAATATCTTTTGCAAACGAACATTAAGAACTGTTGAGACTTATAAAGCTTGTTTAGAAGAACCACGAGGTCAAAAAAACAATGTTAAGGGAATTAAAATGAACTCTCCTTTAAATAAGCTTTCTTTTTATCATGTGGCAAATTTTGGATTAGCTCCTTGTGCAGCTCATGATTTTGACGAGGGTTTTATTAAAAGAGATTTATTTATAATACTAGAGGAACTAATAAAAAAAGAAGAATCGTTTACTGCGGGCCTTCTAAATTATCGAATTAACGATCTCAAATTACTTTCCGAAAATGCGGTGTTTGTACCCAATATAAATTTAAATTCATCAAAAAAGAAATTAGAAGGTACTGCCAGTCAAATCAGGAGACTTTTGTTACTAATTCCTGTAGCATTGTCAGAAAAAATCAAGGATGTAGAGTTAAATGTTTGGGAAATGCTATTGTCTTTAAGATTAATTTGTTCCTATGTATACGCTCCAGCCTTGTCAGACAGGCAAATTGCATTATTGCAACTTGAAATCAATAAATATTTCACTCTCAGAAAGAAATGTTTTCCGCTCGAAAAATTGATACCGAAGCATGAGTATTTAAAACATTATCCTATTTGGATTAGAAAACTTGGTCCCTTAAAACATTTATGGACACTACGGTGCGAGGCTCAGCATAGTGTGCATAAAACTGTTATCAGACATTTAGGAAATTTTAAAAATGTTACACACACTCTCGCCGTAAAGCATCAATTAAAACAAGCTGCTTATCCATCAACTGGAAAAAATTTAGTTGATGCGAAAAATGTGTCCGCATTTGATTTCAATAGTTTTTCGAATTATGTTTTACAACCGAATCCAGACACTCTAACATACGTCACGTCCCAAGTTGAATTTTGTGGAATTGATTACAGACAAAATATGTCAGTTTGTATCGGCTTAAATGAATTTGGAAATTTCGTCGTATGTAAAATAAATTACATAGTAATCAATTCCACATATTCAAATATAACATTCCTGGGTACACCAAAAGAAATCGTTTATAATAAATACGTGGGGGTTTATGAAAATGGAGACAATGATTCTGAGGAAACACTTTGCGCTTTTCCTTATTCTTCCTTATTATCTCCTGACCCGATTCCTGAATTTTTTATAAAAAATGTACCAGTATACGTCCCAAAATACTCACCTCTTGATCCAGACAATGAAAAATAGTGTAAGTAAAGTAGCATAAAACATCAATTTTAAGTTTTCTTTGTCAAACTTTTAGAAAGAATATGAAATAAAATTTATTTTAATAAACACTGAACAATAACTTATAAACTCTTCCAAAAGATTATGTTCTGCATATCTACTTTCTTTTTTAAATATTATAAATTTATAAAATTACAAGTCTATTTTTTATTTTTCAGATGCCTCGTATAAAAATTTGGACTGCAAATCGTTCGAAAAGGGTTGCAGTCAATTTCGAAGATTTCGACACATCAATGGAAATAATTATAAGGGAAGGTTCTCAAAAATTAGGAATAAAAGGAATAATGCTTGTTGCGGAAGAAGACGGAACTTCAGTTTTAGATACAGATGACCTACAATACTACTGCGAACACGAAAAACCAATCCTTTTCCTTGAAAGAAATGAGACTTGGTCTCATCCCCTTCCGACAATAGGGAAAGGGAAAGATATTGCAGAGAATGGGAATCCTACAGAACCTGAGCAGAATAATGTGGAACACAGAGATCTCACAGATGACAAGGAACCCGAACAGGACAACAATAATCATGGACATGACAATAATAATCTTCAACTTGAAAACGCTGATATGGAAACTGTGGATAATAATCGAGAACGTGATGAAAATAGGAGCGATCCTGTCAATCAGCAGAACAATAATGACGATCAACAACAGGATGAAATTGTTAACTATTTCAAAGCTAAACGGGATAGTTTTGTATCCTGGGATGAGTATGTTGTTCCATGGACAAATTTACCTGCAGTAGATGTTCTCGCTTGTCATAATGGAACTGCAACGGAAAGAAATAAACATAATGTAGTCCAATCAGTAATTACAGACATGCGGTTTTACAACGTTCTTATTCGTCGCCAAGACCTTCAAAAGATAGCAAAGCAATTTATGATTAAGTTTCCAATTGCGTTTAAAGATTTGGACGAAGATGGCGAAACATTAGATAATGGTTATAATGGAATTCTAAAAAAATTAGAAGACCATAATAACTATCTGAATAGAACTCCAAATCGTCGTCCAAATCTAACAGATCAATTGAATATTAAATTAAAAGACCGACGATCTTTAGAAGCTATTCAAAGTGGCACGATTAATTGGCAACCGCCACAAATCGCTGAAGGTGAAACGGAAGAAAGTATTGAAAATAATAGAATTTTCTTATGCGCTTACAATTTTGAAAACATTCAAAAAATAATTCCTGAAACTGAATTGGAAACTAAATTGAATTCCACTTTCGCAATACAACGTCTTTTCTTAAATAATATTAAAAATCCACCGAATATTAATGATATTGAGGCAAATTGGTCATTTTTGTTATATGAAAGTTGTCTGCTTTGGCATTTTGAAAAATTGACAGGCATTTCTCTGGATCAAATGTCACAAAAATATGAATTGAAAATTAAAAAAAAATTCTTCACTATGCCCAATGGAAGTTAAAAATTCAGTATGATCCTGCAATCAAAGATATGCCTTTTGAGCAGAGACAAACAGAAGCTTTCAAATGTATAGAAATTCTTCTCAATGAGAAAGAAGTGAGCCTAATTAGTGAATGCGATGTAAGTAATAATTTATTAATTTAGATTCATATACCGGGACATTATAAGTACTCCTACAGGGTTGCCTAAAAAGTACAATTTTATTTTTCCCCGACTTCTAGACAAAATTACGATTTTTCTCTAATCTCAATAAAAAAATTCAAAAACAGTTCAATTGAAATTTTAGCAGAATTTAAAATACAACTATTTAAAACTCAAATAATTTTTTTAAATAAATATTTAATTAGTATTACTTTTCTCACAGCCTTTGAAATTTCAGTTTGAAACCTCCCTAATTTAAATAATCTCTGGAAATTGCAACTGTATTTAACTGAAATTATTTTTAAAGTTAATTAAAATTAATAACTCTAACAAAATTATTATAAAATTTAATAAATGAAAACAAATTTAATTATGTACCTAGTAAATGAAAAGTAGAGTTTTTGTAGTGTTTCTAGAAATTTGATATTTATAGAGTACTTTTTATAACAATTCTTGACATTTCTCGAACCAATTTCATTTTCCCTGACTTGTTTCTAAATCCTCTACTTTTCTGACTTGTGGCAATCCTATTCTACTCTAACTGATCCCAATATTTTATATTATTTATAAAGTGAAATAAAAAAAATAATTAAACTATCTATACCTTTCAGGCCCGACTAGATGAAAGTACACTTCAATCTGAGACAAAATTTGCTTTTATTGCAATGCGAGGTAACTTTTATAAATTATGTTTATTATTATTATTATTATTGAAAAATGAATTTGAAACTATGAAACAACTCTGCTAATGAATTGACAATTGTTTTATGAAAAAAACAAAAAAATATTACCTATTATTATATTATTATTATTAATATTATTTTATTATTTACTTTTTCAGTTCCAGATCAAAATGAAACGGAGGACGATAATGACGAATTAAATTATATATATCAATATTTAATTCTGTTTGAAGGAAAGGTGAAATATAGGTGCAACTCACTACTTCGCGCAATCCAATTGCTTATTGCAGTTTACTATACTTTCAATAAATCATATCCATCATGCCACGGATCAAAACTCATATTTTTGGAAATGTACTTTATTAACATTAGATCACCCACTGGAACATGTCGTTCAAAGAGCAAGACGTATAAAACAAAAGCAATAAGTTTATATAACAATTTAAAAAAAATTAATATACAAGATTACGAACATTAAAATGTTAGTTCTCTCTCATGAGAATATTTGAGAATTTTTAAGAAAAATTAATGTTAAAAATTGAGCTAGTTCTCATTAAAAAAGTCTCTTTTAATATAATTATAATTATTGTTAATCGTCGTCTTTAGTACGTTAAACGGATATTTAAATAATGTTAATAGGTTAAAAAAATATTCAAAATACCTATTTTTTATAAATTTGTTTAAGACCTGAAACAGTATTACTTTGTGTGCTTAAGTGTACGTGTCATACGTAAAAAGTTTGTAATTTATCTTTTTATTATTGTATTAGTGTATTATTATTGTATTATTGTAAATCGGTCGAACGCTCAACGCTTTATTGATAATAAAACTTATTTGCATCTCATAAGTATGCATTAAAAATTTTATTTTATCTTTTAAATCTCCATTTTTTTAGAAAATATTTTATTATTACTAAAAAAACCGAAAAAAATGAAATATTACAGTTTTTGTGAATGTACAATTTCCTATGCATCAAGTTAAATTTCTTTTCTGCTTTATCACAAAAAAATGTAAGTTTACTAGTGTTCTTAAATTCTCGAGAATTTAAGTTGGGGTAATTTCCCTGAGGAAATTACGGTAATTTAATTTTTTAAAGAGAATATAAGAGAATTTAAGAGAATATTGAGAATTTAAGTTTATTTATTTAAATAATGTATATTTATTATTTTTATTAATATAAATACATATAATTCAGCACAATTGCGATGATTACTTTTATCTAAAAAAATTCTTCAAGTTATATATGTAAATAAAAAAAAGTAAAACCACAAATTTTTTAAGTTATAAATTTAATGTCATTTGCATTTATAAGGTTTATAAAATATGCGTAACTTAATACGAATAAAAGTTTAGATACTTTTGAATATAGATAAATAAAGAATAAGGATTATATTTAACATTATATACAATGAATTAAAAAATTTTTTAAATAAATATTTTGAAATTATTTGTGAATAAAGGCTTTCTGTCAGCTCTGCTGCGAGAGTAAGAGAGAAAAACCATTTAATTTGAATTTTCTGACTCTCTTGCTCTTATGTGTTACCATGACAACCTGCAGTCAGTAGAGCTGTGCAAGTACCTTTAATATATAGCATTTGTGGCATATTCTTGTTTACAAAATTTACAGAAGAATTTAATTCTGTAATTTTACAAAATTTGGCGGGAATTCTACATAACCTATAAGTAAAACTACAAATCCCTGTAATTTTACAGTTCTTTTTCGTAATAACGCTACTTTCATAGTAGGTAATATCTGTTTACTGCATTCAGAGTGGTAAAAGTACAGAAAATTTTTTTACAGTGTATTGAAAAAATTGAATTCCTTTTAATTCCTTTTTTGTCCTGAGTTTCGAATTCCCAATAAAAGTATACAAATAAAAGATTTTTAATTCCCTTTAATATCGTCACATAAACGTTGACCAAGGGGACCAAGGTATGAAAAAGGAATTAAAAAGCACATAATTTTAGGTTAGGTGTAGAAAGGTATTCAATTTTAAATATAGGTATTTATGGAAAATGTGATGCTCAGGAAGTCAATTTTTTATGAGTAAGTGAAATAAAGGAAAGTAATAATTAAAATTAAATAAAGTTTTAATAAAAGTTTTACATTATACGTGATTTACATAAAAATCACACAGCACCAAAAATTTCTTGAAACTTTAATAATTGGGCATTAATTGGCATTTGTATCAATGCAACATTGATACAATATTGCCTGAACATGTCAAGTTATTATTCACAGTAAAATTTTTGCTCAAGTTTGATATTCAATATTTCCTTATTATACGGACATTTAAATAACCTCACATTCTCCATGACTTTTACCACGCAATATTTATAACCTCACTGGGCGAGATCCTGTCTAGTTTAGAGAAATTCTCGGTGCTATGTGGGATTTTACTTGCACTTTGGTAATTTGCACCCGATTATATGCACGTGACAGTCGCAGTTGACGCCATTTATCACCAGTTACAAAGTCAAGCACATGACAACTGTCAATGAACAGAGCCATTTTCTTTTCTTTTTTCATTCCTTTCTCAAGTAACTTGGATTTTGATTGGTCAATTTTTGTTTTGTCACCAGCAAGCATTTGATTTACAAGGAATTAAAAGGCATTAGATAGATCACAAATTTATTCCACTTTAAGTGATTAAAAAGTATTCATTCTAATATTGTAAACTTTGGGCATTGAAAAGGATTCATTTTATAGTAGAATTTGACTTAATAGAAATATTAAATTTAGCGGACAAAAAAGGAATTCAGAAGTATTTAAAATTTTCGTCTTTTTATTGATGATGAAATAATTTTTAATACCTTTTTATTCAAGCCTTCTTACCGGGCACACTTTTAAAACGAATTTAACTAAAATGTGTAAGTTTAAAAACAGTATTTGAAAATAATGGAGCATTAGTTGTATTTTCTTTACTTACTTCTTAGCAAGTTGCTCTATGTTGTATCCGGGACTTGGATCATTTGATAATTTTAAAAGTCTAGCAAATCGGTCCAAGCAATTGCCAATTGCTATATCAACAGTTTCGCCAAAAATACAATATCGTTCCTCAGAATAAGCTATGACTTGTGTATTTCCACCAGACACATAAAGTACAATAGGATTATTACTTTTAGTTATTAGTCTACCCATTTCAATATGTCCGATGCAGTGATTAACTCCAACAATAGGTTTTTTATACATGGCTGCTACAGTTCGAGCTACTAATGCCACAACTGATAAAGGAGCGCCCATTCCAGGTCCCTTTGTATAACAAACGACATCTATTTCGTTTAATGTTAATTTTGCATCAGTGAGTGCTTTGCTGAGAATACTGAGAACATGATTTCGGTGGTGAATTGCTGTCTCACGTGGCATAAATCCTGTTAAAAAGAATTTAATCAATTTAATAACTAAAAGAAAATGAAAACTAAATTTTTCGGAAGATAATTTCTTTTCAACTGACGAAATCATATATGATTTAATTTTTTGGAGATCGACAGTTAAATTAATTATTTATTTTATGAAATAGTAAGTACAAGAAATTAAACATGTGGTAGGACAATGCTTAAAACGAAATACTCTCATTTCTGATTTAAATAAATTAGATTACATTATAAGAAGATTAGAGTAGAACGGGGTGAAATAGTTATGGTGCAAAAAAGCTATTTGACTTTTATTTGAAAACTATTAAACTGATTTATCAGCTATTTAGAATATAAATACTTATTATCAGTTAATACGCAACTTTTGATACTAGTTTGGATGTTGTACCTATATTAATATAATTTTTATTGTAATTTTAATTTTTGAGTTGCTCTGCGTATAATATTTCGATGAACTTCTCGAACATATTACAACCTGTTTAAGTGAACGGGTAATAAAAGTAAATGTTTGTACATAAGGAGAAAACTATACTCAAAACGTATACCATGTTAATTTTTGGAAATTGAATTGAATTTAAAATTTATTTTAGCTTTTAGAAAAACTGGTCTTGAGGGTGAAAAAGCCAGGGACAAAAATCCATTGAATATTATGTGAAATTTATTTGTTTTCTACTTAAACTAACCTTCTGATTTTACAAAATTTTTGCGTGTTTACTTAATAAAATTATTTAAACACGACGAAAAAATAGTATAAAGTGCGTTAAAAATAAACAACGAAAAAACGGTTGCAACAAAATATGGCATCTGTGGTGAAATTTAAGGAAGACTTTAAAAAAAGGTACAAAAACTTGGCAGTGTAAATCGAAAACAGGTAAACTTAACATAATATTCAATTTTCCTTGATAAAAGCTCTTTAAAATTTATTAAAATATTTTGAAAATAAGATTATTTGTCATGTAAATAAAGGAAAACTATAAAAATACCAAAATTAATTACATATATTGATAAAATCAAGAGGTGGCTTTCAATGCCAATTGGAAATTTGAGAAAAAAATTTTAAATTCAGATTTTATAAATTAAAATGTAAAAATGTGGCTACTTCACCCCGTTCTATTTTAACGTATTTAGTTCCAAATGTCCGTATTTCTTAGAATTAGTACTAGTTCGAGCTTTCCGTCCTACGAGTTCTGATTTTAAAAAAATCGGGACAATGGTTTTCTTATGGATTTGAGTGTCCTCTTTCAGAATCTGGAAGAAAATTTCAATTTCGATTGAATAATAAAAAGTTATAATTGTTAAAACAAAAAAGCCGTTTTTTTAGTGTTCTTTTCTTTAAAATCAGATTATTTAAACGAAATCGGTTTGGAAAAAATCCGGAACATCAAAATATCGCGTTTAAAATGTTGGGACTATCAGATAGGCATGCTCCCGAAAACAAATTTTTTCAAATATCAAAATGGCGCCTCAAAAACGGCCGCCAAAATATTCAAATTTGGAAAATTAGTTAAACAAGATTTTAACACTATTTTTTTAACTTTTATGCTTCATTTGAATAAAATAATGCTGCTTCAACAAAAAATATTGTTATTTGATGTTATTTAACAATATTACAAACAATTTGAAAACTGGGCCAAAGTGGAAGCAAAAAATTTATTTTTATTAATTTTTTTGCGGTAAAAATGGATACTGAAACTAAAAAACTGAATTCAAAATTATTTTGCAATGTTTAAGAATGTTATAAACAATTTTTATAAACAATTTGCAAAACATGAAATAGATTGGTGGAAAAAAAATTTTTTTTAATTATATTATGCTCTCTTGTAATCAAAATGTTGCTTAAGGTTTAAACTTCAATTTAACATTATTTAACAAGATTTAAAAATTTTATAAACAATTTTTATAAACAATTTTTATAGAAAAAGAAGTTTAGAGTGGAAAGAAATTTTTTCTCGCTATTTGCTTGGTTTGTCATTAGAATAGATAGTTAGAAGACAAATCTTTGTCTGTAATTGTTTAAGATTTTTTTACAATGTTATAAACAATTTTTATAAAAAAAGAAGTTCAGAGAGGAAACAAATTTTTTCTTTTATCTTTTTTTACCACATTACCATAACCACTGTTATGTATTGGAGAATCATTTTTTTTACTATTTTTTTTTATTTTTGTTTCTTTTTCATTTTTAAAAATTTTTTTTGTCTTTTTAATTTTTTAAAAATTTTTTCTGATTTTTGTGTTCGAGAACCACACTTTTGATTTTCGCAATTCCTTTCTAATTTTTTTATCGTCACTGTGTGTCATGAATAATCTTTTCTTTTTCTTTTTTTCAAATATGCATTACAAACGGATAAGGCAACATGTTTGGTGCTTACTTTTTTATCATAGGATGCGAGGTTTCAAAGCACAGTCACGTTACTCAGTGATGATTGCACAATTCGCATAAGTATGGACCATGTCCATTTTTTTGCTTTTATAGGAGGCAACAATTTACTGCAAAATGCATCATGTAAATCGACTCCTCCCATAAAGTTGTTATAATACAAAAAAGCTTATGGGGAAGTCAATTCCAATTCTTTCTTTTTCATTTGCAGAATAGCGTTTTACTTTTCCTATTGGTGTAACACCAGACATCGTGGACAGTATGGATACTTGTTTGGAATCCATAACTGTTATGTAATTCATTCCACTATTCCTCTCGTGTTCTACAACATAAGTGCCTCTTGCAGCGTTTTTATTCAGCGAATTTTATAAATTTACCGATCGCCATTTTTAAATTCACACATGTACTTTTTGAGACAAGCAAATATGTTTGTTTGACTCAAATAAAATGATTTGGTTGAATCAAACAAATTTGTGTGTTGTGTCGAACAAACTGTATTTAACTAAACAATATTCTCTATTCAAAACACAAATTTGGTTAAATGAAACAAACAACTTCAAATAAAAAATTTCTTTCCAATAACCAAACAAATTTTACGTATTTATTAAAATAAACCAAATTTTTATTTAAATCAACAAAATTGTTTTATCGTGACAAATAAAATAGGTTAATTAAACAGTTTGGTTAAGTGAAATAAACTTTTTCTCTGAGTGTAAATAGCGCTTCCAAAAATCGCCCTTGACGTTGTTTTAGAATTTTTACTTTAAAAATGTAGAAAATCAAAATTTTGAACCCGCCATATTGGATCGAAAATTTGGAAAAATTAATTTCTGATATCAGATTCATGATGAACGATCGAAAATAGCCCCAAATAAGTAATTTTTTTGAATTTTTGACAACACTTATGTGTTAAAACCTTGGATATATTGTGGTGCATTTTTATGACCCACTTTAATCATCCGCCATTTTAAAAATTTTTCAAAATTAAATTTTTGGCCAAGTGCTATCTTATAGTGCAGCTAAAAATGAAGGCAAATGTGACCTGGAGAATTTTTTGCATGAAAATTAAAAAAGTTATAAATTTTTTTTAAAAAGTGCATTTTTCCTATGTATTTTTAATGGGAAATTTCGATGGATCTCTGGCACGTGTTAATATTAATCAATCGGCTTCAAATTTTGGGAAATTTTTTTTTATTTTATTGGAACTAAACTGGGGGGTGGCGTAAACAAAATTCGAAAGTCGCATTGTTACGGACACCCTATTGTGCACGTTTGTACGCTCGCTTCATATTCCGCCTCGCTACGGAGTTCAATTCCGCGGTACGCGCTCCCACTAAAGTCGCAATATCTCGAGAACTATTAGAGTCTCCATAAATTTTTTTTTATGAAATGAAAGGTGAAATTACAAGAAATCGATATTTACTTATTAGAAAATTCAAAAATTAGGCCAACTGAACTAAAAATTAATTCAAAAAATTTTTTTGACTTTTTTTTTGACAAATTTTGGAAATTTTTTTTTGTTCATAATATCAAATTAAACTACGTATTTTTGACTATATCGCCTGTAAATTTTATTAAAATCGATCAAAAAGTTTCAGAGTTATTAATTTTTGAAAAAAACGCAACACTCATTTTCAATATGGCGTAGCGGCCGCCATTTTGAAAATTTTTCAAAATCCTTTTAGGGTTAAATTTAATTCATATAAGACTTCTATTTCCCAAGGTTTCGAAGAAATCGGAAGACCACTTGCAAATCGCTTTTTTTCTGACGGAGTGTTACCCATACAAAACTGCTTTTGTCGAGCAACGACTTGGCTATGGTCCTCAAGTAGGTACCAATGGATGTGGTTCCATCACTGATGGAATACATAAACTTGAATTACGAATTCCAAGTTTATAGAAACACAAAGTTTTCACAAAAGGCAAAAAATAAGTAATCATAGGCACCATTGAGTGTCAAGGTAAGATTTTATTACAAATTTTTAAACAAGACTGATAAAAATAATGATTTTTCAAAACAATAATTCATTCAGTAATTTTTTATATGCACACGTGTTCAAATTTTTACGTTAGCTTCGTTCGTTACATGTTAAGTCTTTCGCGTCGAAGGCGTAGGTTTGATTATAGGTCGTGGATTTGATTTGTATTAATCATAGACGATTAATACGTAAGCACCAACTTCAAAGTCTTTCGTTTTTGTGAGATTAATATTTGGCTTATTTAATTGTATTTTCCTCTTCCTTTGTAATGTTTTTTACATTTTAGCCCTTTTCTCCTTTTCAACTCTACGCTGGTGTTCAATAAATTCATCTGCGAGCGCCACAGTGGGTCTAAATCTTTTTACATTTTTTTAAGTTTTGCTAGATGTTGGTGTCTCTGTCCAGAATAGAGCATTTTTAAAAGGCATTGGAAATTCTGATTGTTTCGTAACTTGTGCAATTTTTTCGAGAGTACTCATTGTTTCCACTGGAATTTTAGCGGCAAGATACTCCTCATAATTAAGAGTAACTGACTCGCTTTCAGTTTTTGGTTCAGTAACCACCTTTATCACCACTGTTAAGCTTGGTAGTGTCTTTGGCGTCGAGCATATTAAGCTGCCATCAGTTTGTATTGTAAATTG